TCTCACCTGCGAGTATTTGGGAGCATTGCATATGCTCATGTGCCGGATCAAAAGCGGTCCAAGCTAGATGATAAGAGTGAAAGGTATGTCTTTATCGGCTATGACTCTCGCTCCAAAGGCTACAAACTGTATAATCCAAGCAAGGAGAAGATTATCATAAGTAGAGACGTCGAGTTCAATGAAGAAGGAGATTGGGATTGGGGTGTCCAAGAAGAAGACTACGACTTCTTGCCATTTTTTGAGGAAGAAGAACAAGAGAATGAAGAGCAGCAAGAGCCTACCAGTCCACCTCTATCACCTGCTCATGGAGATGCTTCACCAGTATCTTCACAAGGAGAAAGCTCAAGCGAAAGGACACCACGGATGAGGAGCCTACAAGAGCTATATGAGGTAACAGAGAATCAAAATAATCTCACACTTTTTTGTCTTTTTGCCGATTGTGAGCCAATAGGGTATGAAGAAGCAGCGCAAAATAAAAGATGGAGATATGCCATGGATGAAGAGATTAAAGCTATTGAGAAAAACGATACATGGGAGCTGACGACTCTTCCCAAAGGAAAAAGAGCAATCGGAGTCAAGTGGGTGTACAAGATAAAGAAGAATGCTAAAGGAGAAGTGGAGAGATACAAAGCAAGATTGGTTGCCAAAGGCTACAACCAACAGTCGGGGATCGATTTTGAGGAGGTATTTGCCCCTGTTGCTCGCTTAGAAACCATAAGATTAATTATCTCTCTTGCCGCGCAAAACAAGTGGAAGATTTTTCAAATGGATGTGAAATCAGCTTTTCTAAATGGTTATCTTGAAGAAGAAGTTTATGTGGAGCAACCAATGGGATATAAAATAAAAGGGCATGAAGGTAAAGTCTTAAAACTCAAAAAGGCTTTATATGGGTTGAAACAAGCTCCAAGGGCATGGAATAGTAGAATTGACAAGTATTTTCTAGAAAATGACTTCACAAAATGCCCTCACGAGTATGCCCTTTACACAAAGGTAAATGAGAAAGGAGATATCTTGCTTGTTTGTTTGTATGTGGATGATCTTATATTCACAGGAAATAATCTAAGCATGATCACTGAGTTTAAGAAGGCCATGGCTCAAGAATTCGAGATGACAGATATCGGTCTTATGGCCTACTATCTTGGGATTGAGGTAAGGCAAATGGAGGATGGTATCTTTATCTCACAAGAAGGGTACGCGAAAGAAGTTCTAAAGAAATTCAACATGGCGGATTGCAAGCCTGTATGCACCCCCGTCGAATGTGGAACCAAGTTATCGAAGTATGATGAATGTGAAAAAGTGGATCCAACACTCTTTAAGAGTCTTGTCGGAAGTCTAAGATATTTGACATGCACAAGACCAGATATCCTCTTTGGAGTAGGGCTAATCAGTCGCTATATGGAGATACCCACCATGACTCATATGAAAGCTGCAAAGAGGATTCTTCGCTACATCAGAGGTACGCTTGACTATGGTTTAATCTATTCATCATCTAATGAATTCAAACTTGTTGGCTATAGTGATAGTGATTGGGGCGGAGACATTGACGATAGAAAGAGCACTACTGGATATGTATTCTACTTGGGCAACACTGCATTCACTTGGAGCTCGAAGAAGCAATCGATCGTCGCGCTATCTACATGTGAAGCTGAATATGTTGCAGTTACATCAAGTGTTTGCCATGCAATTTGGCTTAGAAACTTGTTGAAGACACTTGGAGTCTTACAAGATGAACCGACTGAGATCCATGTTGACAACAAATCAGCACTGGCATTGGCAAAGAATCCAGTGTTTCATGATAGAAGCAAGCATATCGATACAAGGTATCACTTTGTAAGAGAGAGCGTTGCAAAGAATGAGGTGCAATTGAAGTATGTAACCTCTCAAGAGCAGATCGCCGACATTTTCACTAAGCCACTCAAGCATGACGTGTTCCGCAACCTAAGAACTTTACTTGGAGTAGCAAAATCAAGTTTAAGGGGGGATGTTGGAAAGTAAACTTGATTTTGGAGTAAGTAATATGAGTTTAAGAATTTTGCTCATAGGCCCAATTCAAAGGCCCAACAAAGTCTAGCATTTTCTAGAATTATATTCTAGAAAGACCCATGTAAATATCTAAGTAATAGATAAATATGCATTGTACCTAGAATACTCTAGGAAAATATCTAGTCCAAATATGAAATCTAGAAGCCTCATGAAAATTTATGGACTAGAATTCTCTAAATTAATGTGTGGTCTAGAAGTCTCATGTAAGCCCTATATAAAGGGGTAGAGTCCCTCCATTTTGTAACAACAAGTCAAGTCAAGTGTTGTAAGTGTTGAAGTTGAAATATAAGTTACATTTTATTTACCTCTTCCTATTAGTATTGTCCTTCCTATCAAGTCTTAGCCAAATAAAGTTGGTAAACCCCTCTTAACTCCAACAGTTCTTGGCTATCAGCATATGTGGCGTTTGACAAATATGTCCAGAAGAAAAACCAGTTTCACTACCAGTGTAGAAGTTAATGCAACTGTCATCATAGCTTCCACCTCTGTTGGGTAATTGTTATTGCCACCAAATGCACGGGGATAATTGTCATCGCAGCGAAAGCCACCACATCCACCGAAGTTACCATCTCTAGGGCAATTTCCATCACCAACACCACCAAAATTGCCACCTTCATATGCAGGGCCTCTACTGTTAAAAGCACCAGAGATTTTTCAGCAGCATAGTTCACCTTTATTGCTCTCTAGTGAAGGTCTTAAGGAATCACATTAGATATCAAAGTCCACATTGAGCAAGATAAATATATAAATCATTCAACATCAAGTAAACCCACTGGTCTGAAGATTATTTTAGGCTTTGACGTTACAATCAAGTTTGTTGAGTCCTCATGGGAGGATATAACCGTTTATGTTACTGAGAAAAGATCAAAATATTCATTATATTTGTACAGCAGCAACAAGATGCTCTTACCTTCCCATCCATTGCCTGGATAGCATTCTAAGATTCATCTGTCGACGTGTATGTAGCAAAGATAAATCCTCTCAATCTACCAGTTTCACGAATCAAGAAAACTGTAGCTGGAAGAAAAAGAAGATTAGGAGTTCCATTGATCCCAAATTGATAGTTGCTGCCACACAGGGTTTTTCTCGGTGTTTTTGGGAAATGGATTCAACTAAATTTTAAAGAAAAATGAGCTGAATTATAAATTAGTGAATACAATGAACTTACTTGATCTCATACATTTAAACAAAGAGCACATACAAGTAGATACCAAAGTTCATACCTGTAGGTTTCCACTCTTTGTACAAGTAGCATAATTATAAACTTAACATAAGTTGTAAAATGACCTCAAATGGATATTAAGCCCCCGTTTGGCTTTCATTATTTGAAATTTTAATGGTTGGAATAGTATTTTTTGAAAAAATGTGTGATTAAAATAGAAGAAAATTTCTGGAATTGATTATAATATTATTTTATTGGAGAATTTGTGGTTGATAAAGAGATAAAAAATGAATTATAATTTTAATGAGGGCGAAACAAAGGCGTAATCAACTTAGAACAATTTTATTTGAAACTTTTAAACAGACACTATTGTCAAAAACTATAACTTAGATTCTCAAAAAAATATTTATTCTAAATATTTCATCATCATACTATCCCCCCATTTAAGCTCCATTTTTGAAGGAAAATATATTTTGGAATATTGATTTTTTGGAGAACGTGTCATTAAAAAATAAGAAAATTTTTTAAAATTACGTGCAAAATTATTTTATTGAAAAATGTGTGTTTGAAAATAAATTTTGAAAAAAAAAATGAGTTTTTGAAAAAAATGAAAGCAAGACATTAGCTATATATTGTTACAAAGCAAATAAAGAAATGAAATAAATTAATTGTCATGTTGATCATCATTGTTTCAACACAACAAAAAGTATAGTCTGTAGAAGTTTTTTTATGTTTGATCATAAAGTTGCAATACCACAGAATTAAATGATAGAAGGAAGATTTCCATTAATTCTTCCAAAAAAAGTCTGCCAAAAATGGAGTTGTGCACATTCACTATGAAAACTAAGACACTTTATCAGACAGTAGGAACGAACATTGCATAACATCGCATCACATAGAACTTCAATTCTCGCCTATGTCACCGAGAATTTTAGCATACCCACAAGATTACTTTCATGCACGAGGTTTATTAGCGACCGCAAGCTCAACAGATATTATAAAGGTTGATCTTCTCTGCCTCCTTTAAATACTGGACATCTCTTTCATAAGCTTGATTGATTTTCTGCTGATGAGCAGGCTGATGCCCTCCTCGGATGCTTCTGCATCACTCCCAAACATTTGGCTTACCAATTGTTCTGGTGCCCCACCACCTGTATGTGTTATCCTGTGCCAAACGTTGAGCTTAACAATTTTTATCGTAATCCAGCCAAAAGCAAACAACATATTAGTCTATCTGCCAGATGTGGATATAGTTATCTCATTAATCGATATCCTTTGATCCATATCAAATATCTGATTAATGCATAAACCTAATGACAGAAATAAAGTTTCCTTCACTATCCATTTAACCTTAAGAAATTTTCACTTGAATGGTTTAGTTTGATAGCTGGCTACACAGCCGAAAAGAAATTGAGGTGCTTAGAGTTTTCTTACCGGTCTTGTATGTAAGTAGCTACAAGATTATGAATCATTGAAGCATGGAAAATTCACTATGTGCTAATTATCCAAAATAATCTGAAAATGCTAAACTTATTTAGATATTATAATGTGAACAGATGAGGAGGGGCATTCTAACCAAGGAAAAGGAACAAAAGCCCCCATTTATGCCTTGTATACTTGCAATCTTGTACATGCATTCGTTATATGTCACAAGCTGCATAAGACGAATGAAAAATTAAGCATTACGAGAAACCTCTAAATCTAGAAAAACCTGCAAAAAATTGTAAGTTCACGTTTTGCTCATACCTGAATACCAAATGAGCAAGCTGAGCAGATTCACCTATTGAATCTTTGGTCAAGTTGGCTGCAACACAAAGCTGGCCTCCACTCGGTGTAAATGAAGAGACATTAACAAGAAATTAGCCAGGACTTGTTGAAGCCTTAGACTGTCTCCATAAAGTGTTTCGCATGATGGATTTTTGTCCAAATTGTCAACTATCATAATACCCTTTCCATTGCTCTTCATCATGATTTGGCTAATGGAAGCAATCAATGCATCGTGGAACTTAAATTCCACCATTTCCAGGTCCATGTACCTGACAAGAGTCAGCAAAAAATTGCTAAAGTTTACGAAGTGTTATCATGAAATGATGATAAAAGAAAAAGAATCTAGGGGTTGCAATGCCCTATCGATATATTAAATCTACTTTCGAAATATAGATAACTTAAAAAGATCATTCATTGCAATGACCTGAATGAATAACATGCACCTTCAGAGGACAAATGATTTAACTGAAAATGAGGATTTTACATGATCAAACAAAAGTATAGAGAGCCTTTTGACCCAATGAATCAGAAAAACAATCGAGACTCAAATCAGTAAATCTTCCTGAAAGAAATTTTTCATTGTTTCACCAGTAAAATGTCTATTTGTATGAAGAGTTATTCTTGAAACAAGAATTAAGAAATAGAAGAAAAAAAAAATCACAAAAAAAAAGGTTTGTTCAAGTCAAAGTAATAAAATATATCACCTTCATCAGCAATCAGATTGTCAAATTAGGGACGAATTTTCTTCTCAGCACTGAGCTCACCATTAAACCTAATATTAAACCATGAGAAGGGATTAACTATTTGGGATTCACAAGGGATTATTAAAATATGTATGTGGTTACTGTTACTTGTCATTATAAATCCGAGTTTTTTTCTTGCAGTTTTATAAGCTTCAGTCTTTCGTGTTTGCTCTTCCATTTTTACATTTTCAAGCATATGATATTTGGTATATACAATATAATGTCACCATAGGAAATTTGAGTTCAGAAAATGATTCCAACGGATTAAAAAAATAGGAGAGCAAAAAAGCTGAGAAGGGAAGGAAAACAACAACAACAGGTTAACTTGATTGATATCACCACGAGCATATTTATGATAAATATAAGCTTTTTGGTGTTATAAGATCCATATTTGGTAATGTCGTTTAAATATGATTATACTCTAACTATTTCTCCTTATTTAGAAATGAATTTTAACTTTTAAGTTTGATATTCTTACAAGATGCATGATAAAATTGTTAGTTGCTTCGTTGTTTTTACACTTATTATACGTCTTGCAGCGTATGCTCATCGGTTTGTTGATATTTGATCTCTGAAAAAGGTCGCGAATTTTAATTCAATGCGCATGTTTTTGTACTTCGTAGGTAAGCTAAAATTGGTGTAGTGAAACTGTAGGTTAATTAACTCTAGAAACAAACATTATTTCAAAGGGCTAACTTAGTTGTCATGTAAACATTTATAGTTCCATGATGTCCATTATCTAAACTAAGTTTTTCCTCACCTGCTAGATACATATTACAAATTATGTTACATTTAATTAGTAGTTCTTGACAACAGGTATATTATGATTTCTTAGTGTCAATACCACTGCTCCACTTTCAAGACTTTTTTCGAGCCTACGAAGAATTTTGACCCCATCAAGGTTTTTTGGTAACAGATAGTGATATTGAAACTTCACTTTAATTTGTCGTAAAAGATAAATATAAGCTAGTTAAAAAAATGTCAAACTGTGTCGATGTCACGCTGAAATAATCTTTCAAGAATTTTCACTGATATATATATATTTCTCTCCATGCCATTTCTTCTTTTCAAGTTCTTCCTCATCTACCCATGCTAAAACCTAAGAAACACCTTCTGACTTTTTCTTAAATCTTTCTTGCGTCATTTTTGCAACATAATGTAATTAGTGATACTCATCTAAGTGCAATTTTTTTTACCTCAAGATGAACAAAGTGCAATTTCTTACCTCAAGAACACATGAAGAATCTTTCAAGAATTTCATTAACGTATATATCTTTCTCTATGTCATTTCTTCTTTTCAAGTTTTTGCTCTTATCTACCCATGCTAAAACTTAAGAAAAACCTTCTGGCTTTTTCTTCAATCTTTCTTGCCTTATTTTGCAACATAATGTAATTATGTGATACTCATCAAAGTGCAATTTTTTTTACCTCAAGACGAAGTGTAATTTCTTACCTCAAGAACACATGAAGAAGCAACAATCAACCCATCAGAAATTGACTATAGTCAACAAAGCCAAAATTTCCATAAATTGACTACAAGGAGTAAGAAATCATGAAATTTAAAGAAAAACCAACCTTACCTCATATCAGCAACCGATGGAGTAGCCGTTGTGGCAGTAGAATAAGCATTGCCATAGATGAAACTCATTTGCAGAAAGTTTTGTAAATGTAGGAGTTTTTTCAGTATTGTTGAATCTAAGTTAGTCTAAATTTGAAGCATATTATCGTATAAGTATGGTTATCCATCGTCACGATGAAAGAAGACGTAGAAAGTATTGATTACAACAAATGTCTACTGCAATCTTTCGTCTGTATATAGTCATCTTGTCTAGAGAAACTGATTCTATTGGATATTAAGCCCCCATTTGGCACCCATTTTTTTCTCATTCTCATTCTCATTCTCATTCTCATTCTCTCTCTTCATTTTTTTTCTCATTATTTTTCTCTTTCTTCATTTCAACCACACATTCTATCAATAAAATAATATTACACATAAACCTAAAAATTCTCCTTACTTTTTAACCACACATTCTTCCATCAATCACTATTCAAAAACACATTTTTCTACTAAAATGGATGTCAAACACCCCCTAAAAAATGAAATATTCTATATATTTTAGCAAAAAAATTCCACAGGTTGGCCTATAGAAGAGAAAATTTTTCGTTAGAATAAATTAGCCATAAACATAAATATAAAATTAAAGTGAGGTGAAAAAGAAGTAAATAATATTTACCGATTATTTTCAGAAGGCAGGTAGGGCATGATATCTATTTCCATCTATTTGTTTCTATTTTTCTTATAACTGGGCTGATGCAAGCCTCGACAATAACAATAATTTGACCACATTGAATACTGCATTTGCATGCATCATGACCTCTTGTATCATATGAAACTATGGTTACAATCATATATTTGAAATTTTTATTCTTGGAAATTCACAAGAAAGAGATATAAATTGTTACCTGGATACCAACATGGAATTAATAAATAATTACATGCTAGCCATGGGTGACCTTCTGCTGGTAAATTGCCATTTATATATTCTTCTAGATGAATAACATTTAGTGGATGTTTACTTGCTGTTCCTTTTTTTTTATGTTTTTCTACATCATGGTGACTACATTCGCTTTCAAATCCAAAATCTAGAATTGCATATTCCTTCGAAACAAGGTTGGAACCGTTTTTGATAAGTCGCCTTAATAGTTCTAATTCTACGTCGAGATTCTAATAGAATAAATAAGTGTGAATGGAATATATTAAGTAATAGAATAAATAAGTGTAAATGAAATATATTAAGTATGTGATGAAGTATATTATAACGAATGATGAATGAATTTTACTAACCATAGTATTGATATCTTATATTTTATCCATTAAAGCTTTCAATCTGTCTCTGATGTACAAATTGCCTGTCCCATGGTCCCAATATGCACTGCATAACATAATTGAAATTAGTTTTAAATTAATCAAAGTAAAATTATAATATTCAAGTTAAATTGCTTACTTGGATGGATTCTTTAATACCCAATCTCTGACCACGGTGTATAACTTGTCATTGAAGAATGTATGTGTTTCTCTTTTAGCCTTTTTTTTTCTTTTGTTAACCTCTGAACATCTTCCATCTATTGAGATGTGGAGGCGCGCTTTGGAACTGGACTTCTATGGACAGAAAGATCCTGATGGAGGAAGCTATAACAGCTTCCATATTTGATTCCCAGACTGATAATTTATTCAACATATTGCTATTTTGTTCATCTATGTAAGATCATTGAAGTCAAACTGGTATCCATGTAATTTTGCATGCTGGATTGCATGTCTTGGTAGTATTGTTGTTGGCACTGTTGTTGTTGCTCAAAGTGGTCTTGCTGCCATTTCTGCTGTTGTTCAAATAGTTGTTGCTGGTTGCGAAGAATTGCTTCGTAGGGGCTTTCTTGTTTTTTTTTATTCTTCAACAATGTCTGTTTTCAAACTTTTGCATAAATCCGATACATCTGATACTACGTGCTGCCTATATACATTGAACATCTCTTCCATTTCTTCTCTAGTCACATAATTGGAGCCAGTAGAAGTAGAACTTGGGCCAACTCCAACCGAATTAGATGTCATAGGATCAAGCATGGCATCTGGAATTTGTTGTGGGATTTACTGTGCTACATTGTTGATATCTCTATTCACAATGGCTTTGTTGTTCATGGTGATTATGGAAGTGGCAGATCGAAGTCTAAATTTAGGAATCAGATTTGTAACTGCAATAAGAAGGGGCACATGAAAAAAGAGTGTTACAAATTGCGTAATAAAGAAAGGTTGGCTGCAGGTCAATATGGGAAGCAATCAGAGGCTTCAGGTGAAGAAGGCCTAGTAGAGAACATTGTAACTGAGGGAGATCTCTTGGCCATTTCTGATATCGAGTCTAAACTATTGGAGGATTGGATTCTAAATTCACCATATGTGTTTCATATGTGTCCTAGAAAAGGACTTCTTTACTACATACGAAACTATTTCCAAAGGAGTCGTGGTTATTAGGATCAACGCACCTTGTCGGGTTGTTAGAATTGGTACGATCAGATTGAAGCCAGTGGATGGGGACAATTAGAACACTTGACCAGGTTCGACATGTTTCAAATTTGAAGAAAAATTTCATCTCGTTGTCTATTCTTGATCCAAAGGGTTATGACTTCCTTGGTAGATGTAAAATTTTAAAGGTTTATAAAGGTGCCCAAGTTGTATTGGAGGGAAAGAAGGGTCTCAGTTATATATGTTGCAGGGACACACACAATCTAGAAGAGTCAATCAATACAGGTTCAGTACCAAGGTGGACATTAAGTTTGGTACAATACCTTTAGGTGCTTGTAGAAGGTTGGATTTGAAGAATATAGCTAAGTGGAGCTCAGGATATATGGATAATATCGATTTTCCACCATTACCTATGGTGCCATTATATTCTATTTCTAGGGATGGATCCAGTAAAAAAGGTATGTGGATTCTGATTTTGTTGAGCATGCTTTCAATATAGTAGAATGTGTACAATCTAGCAATGAGCCTTCTCTAAAAGCATTTAGGTTTGATTCTGCTTTGGGGTGTGTTACATCCTGGATTGGTGAATTTTAAAATCATTATAATTTTTTGAGAATTTGAGATAATTCTGTAGAGTAGTGTAAGAAGGGGCACATGAAAAAAGATTGTTACAAATTGCGTAATAAAGAAAGGTTGGCTGCAGGTCAATATGGGAAGCAATCAGAGGCTTCAGGTGAAGAAGACCTAGTAGAGAACATTGTAACCGAGGGAGATCTCTTGGCCATTTCTGATATCGAGTCTAAACTATTGGAGGATTGGATTCTAAATTCACCATATGTGTTTCATATTTGTCCTAGAAAAGAACTTCTTTACTACATACGAAACTGTTTCCAAAGGAGTCGTGGTTATTAGAAACAACACATCTTGTCGGGTTGTTAGAATTGGTACGATCAGATTGAAGCTAGTGGATGGGGACAATTAGAACACTTGACCAGGTTCGACATGTTTCAAATTTGAAAAAAAATTTCATCTCGTTGTCTATTCTTGATTCAAAGGGTTATGAGTTCTTTGGTAGATGTAGAGTTTTAAAGGTTTATAAAGGTGCCCAAGTTGTATTGGAGGGAAAGAAAGGGTCTCAGTTATATATCTTCCAGGGACATACATAATCTAGAAGAGTCAATCAACACAGGTTCAATACCATGGTGGGCATTAAGTTTGGTACAATACCTTTAGGAGCTCGTAGAAGGTTGGATTTGAAGAATATAGCTAAGTAGAGCTCAGGAGATATGGATAATCTATTTTCCACCATTACCTACGGTGCCATTATATTCTATTTCTAGGGATGGACCCAGTAAAAAAGGTATGTGAATTCTGATTTTGTTGAGCATGCTTTCAATATAGTAGAATGTGTACAATCTAGCAATGAGCCTTCTCTAAAAGCATTTAGGTTTGATTCTGCTTTGGGGTGTGTTACATCCTGGATTGGTGAATTTTAAAATCATTATAATTTTTTGAGAATTTGAGATAATTCTGTAGAGTAGTGTTTCTGCTTTGGGGTGTGTTACAATCCAATTTGGTGAATTTTAAAATCTTCCCAATTTTTTGGGAATTTGAGGTAATTGTGCAGAGTAGTACTTGGATTCATTGGAAGATGTAGAGTATTTTGTGTTTGGTTGGAGAAATCAGTTTTGATTATTATTGAATAGTCAATTTATTCCTTGTAGATGATTTTTTTTCTAAGTTGAGAAAATTTTGGAGCTTTGCTCAATGCAGTAGAATTCGTGTAAAGGTGGGGATTGTTAGAATTCGGGTTTGAATAATTATAATTGAAGTGCACGTTAATAAGAATTCAGTTTGAAATGCTATTGGAGTCTTATTTAACTTGAAATTCTATTTAGAAGCCCTATTAGGATTTGGAATTTGTATTGAACTTGAAAAGGTTGAAATTATGGACCGGGAAGAAAAGTCACCTCATTTTCGCTAGCCTATTGCTAGCTGGCCACTCGAGCAACACCTGCAGGTTTTCTCCAGTCGCCCACTTGGTGCTTGAGCGACGAACCTATTACTAGCTTATCGCTCGAGCGACAAGGTTATTCGGCCCAGGCCCTTTTCGAGTTTTAATTTTTTTGGTATTCTATTTCAGCTACAACTCATCTATTATGATTTGGATGTCGCCCTACATAATTGCCTATATATACTGAGCTATTCTCTACAATTTTTTGTGAGAATAGTGCGAGAAAAATGATTACTAGATTTTATGATCATTATAATATTTCTCCATCTTCATTATTTGTGATGCAATAAAATCCCCTAATTCCTCTACTATATTTTCTTGTCTTCTTTTATTGTTCTGCTTCTAATCAAATACTTCATTATTGTACTATATAATTTCAACATCTCAATCTAGTGGTTGGTTTCATATCAAGTGGTATTGAGCGATATGTGATCCTTGAATTCTGAACAATTTGTATCAGAGATTTTGGGCATAATTAACACAACAATGCACACATTGGACATGTGGAAGAGTTAGAATTCTAATCTTGTGTCGGGAGATAAGGGCCAAGGGATAGTCAGGTAGACCGTTTGTATGGGGGATCACTAGAATATCCCATTGAGGGTACTTATATCCAGAATCACATATTTCAATCAATCTTGCTACAAATATTCTAGTTGACATTCTGCTTTATATTGTACTATATTGCACACAATTTTACCATTGAATTCTCCAATAATTAAAACAATCGATGATTTCAATTTTGCCACCTATTAAAATGTCATCCTAGGATAAGGGAAATAATGTACAAGTAGCATAATTGGTATTTTAACAGTACTTTCAAACAGTAGGTAGATTTTAGGAGTGTAACATTTTATGTAAATGGAGTGCAATGAAATTTGAACCACTTGTGAAGAGGCATAGATACTAAGTAGTATCTTTTACATGTAACTTGTCTTACTGTATTTATATTGTAGCGGTAAAATAGTTGTTGATTTGATTAATGGACTGAAAACCTGATTTTTCCTTTAAAAATACACTATAATGCACAAGATAGAGATCTAACTAAATCAAAATAAGAACGTAATGAAGTTAAGGGCTATAGTAATAAAAGTAGTATATTAGCCCAAACCTGACATCAGAAATAGAGACGAGGAAAGGAAAATGAGGGACAAAACAATCCCCAAATACGTAGGCCTGTACTCAGGCCACAACCAGGATTAAATAAAAATGGTAAATAGTTTTTAGAAAAGGAGAACCATGCTTAAGAATTCAATTACATTCCCATTAAGAAAATTTATGAAATAAAATCAGGGATACAGTGAAAGTCCAAGGCAACTGAGCAGTAGCAGTAGGAGGAGGAAATAATGGTCTATCTTTGTCCTTGTTCTCCTGAACTGAAGCATCATCTAAATTCTTCATGCATCTCTCAAGATTATCTTGATGCACTTACAATCCTGTTTGCCTGTCAATCAGGGCAGCAAAACCTGATTGGAATTTTGCTTCTGGGGTTCTTAGTTTGAGGAAAAACCTTTACAACTTATTCATTTCCTTAAAGAACATAGAAATTTTGGCACCTTGACAGGTTAAATATCAAGAAACTACATTCGAGTAGTTGAAAAGCTAATCCAGTTGTCCCATTCCTGAGCTTTAGTGGCAGGTGGTGTTGTACGATAAAATAAGCCCCTTTTTGAAGTTGAAGCACTCCTTGGAACAGAAGTAACTGATTCTTCCTCCAAGGAATCCTTTGCCAGTTCCTATCCATAAACACATAATCCATGTGTTTTAAAGTACGCTGGTTTAGTTTGAGTTAGGCAGCTTAGGACTTGATTAACTTTAGTCAGCATGTTGTTACGAATTTTACAGGTACTAATATCCTTAAACATCAACCTATGCGTTATCCATACCTATTTTACATTGTGTAAAAGGATCGTGGGAAAATAAATTCCATCACCTATAATGATGGTATTGGAAAATAAGCGTAATGGGTCCTCCATATGGGTGATCCGACGTGTAAGATATCAAAAGGATTGGATGGTGTGATTTGAATTAGAATTCGAACCTACAACTCATCGTAACTCCCATTTTAACCTCCTACTATTTGTCTAGCATTTGAGAGAGAATGATAGCAAGAAAAGTGTGAAATTCGTATGGAAAATCACACATAAATTGGAAAGGCCCTAAAACAAATTTATTGGCATAGAAACTTAAAAAATTAGGCACTTAGTTGTAGATTATAATCCCTTTCCATGGTGATCAGGATTGGACCATTGGAGTGCTAGAAAATATAGAACTTGATGCTTAAAAAGCAAAGTAATTCAACAACACCAAAATCTTGGAATTTATTCTTTCAAGTAACGATTCTAGACCCGTAATAGATGATTATGAATGCTGTGAATTCCTACATATAATATTCGTAATTGTATCTGAACTGTTAACAATACCAACACAAGTTATCCATACATATGCATAACATATTTCAAAAAAATATATATAAAATAACGAATGCCATAGCTAACTCCATAACTATTTAGGCACTTAGTTGTAGATTATAAACCCTTTCCATTGTGATCAGGATTGGACCATTGGAGTGCTAGAAAATATAGAACTTGATGCTTAAAAAGCAAAGTAGTTCAACAACACCAAAATCTTGGAATTTATTCTTTCAAGTAACGATTCTAGACCCGTAATAGATGATTATGAATGCTGTGAATTCCTACATATAATATTCGTAATTGTATCAGAACTGTTAAAAATACCAACACAAGCTATCCATACCTATGGTTAACATATTTCAAAATATATATATATATATATAAAATAACGAATGCCATAGCTAACTCCATATCTATTCAGCAGAACAGGCGTTTGATGTAATTGTTAATCTATGCAAATCCTTTTTCTTTTCTTTTTCTGTTTCTTGTCCGTGTATGAAAGGGCAAGTTTAGGCTGTACCTTGTACTTTTGTCATCTTCCACTGGTGGATGTCCCCTTAATTGCTTTCTTAGGATGAGATCTAATTAGGACGATTCTTTAATGTATAAGCCCACAATTGGGGCATCCTTTATGCTGAGGTTGCTATTGTTAATATAATTTCTTTTTATTTTTTGGTTCAATTATAATATAAATTAATAACCATGGTTACCAAAAAGAACTATGTTCCTATATGAATACTCCATATCTATTCAGCAGAACAGTGCGTTTGATGTAATTGTTAATCTATACAAATCCTTTTCCTTTTCTTTTTCTGTTTCTTGTCCGTGTATGAAAGGGCAAGTTTAGGCTGTACCTTGTACTTTTGTCCTCTTCCACAGGTGGATGTCCCCTTAATTGCTTTCTTAGGATGAGATCTAATTAGGACGATTCTTTAATGTATAAGCCCACAATTGGGGCTTCCTATATGCTAAGGTTGCTATTGTTAATATAATTTCTTTTTATTTTTTGGTTCAATTATAATATAAATTAATAACCTTGGTTATCATACTTGTTGAAGAGCACTAAGTTTGTAAAAAGAACTATGTTCCTATATGAAGATATCAAATTTTGAAGTGAACCAGTTCAACTTGATATAGTAAGAAACGAAGGTCATGTATTGCAAATTCCTGATTTACTAAAGTTTGTGCATGTAGATAAAAAAATGAATTCTGGACATGTCAAATTTAAATAAATAAATTTATTTTATTTAACCATTCAAACTTTTGGATGAAATACATCAAGATAACTTCTTATTGAAGTAATAGATTTATCTGGTTTAATGGGAAGATCTCTTCGGATTGACACTATGATTTTTTATTGATTTTAGGTTGAAAATATATTTTTTTAAATATAATAATTAACATGCTTTGTATCTGATACACACATAAATTTTGCTTCTTGGCAAAAAAGTATGGTTTTTTTTTTGCATAAACATCATGAGTGAAGTCCATTGAATTTCTATCTTTAATAAAATTTCTTAAAAATTCAAATATCACATTATTTTGTAGCAGTATCACCACTACTTCTATAAACATCAGTCTAAGTGTAGCAATGTGTTAATAGCATTACCTTAAATAAAAACTTTTGAAATTCAACCTATGAACTAGTCAACGTGTTAATTTGTTAAAGATACAATTATGGTCATATATTTCTTCTCATAACACGCAGAGTTATTGTCTTACTACATCAAGTTTTACCTTTATTAAATTTGAAACTGAAAATTCATCCTTGAATCTCAAAAATATGTAATGGAAGCATCATTGAAGTGAGAAAAAATTTGAAAGTATATTTTGCTACACGTAAAAGTTAAATTATAAGTGAGTTTTAAAATTAATTGTTATTTCATTGATGAAATTTAATTGAAAATAAGTAAATTACCTATTTTGAAAGTAAAGTAAAAAGTTATATTCATAAGTTGTTATTTTGTTTGCATAAAAGTAAGAAAAAGATATTATCAAACTTGTTTGGAGAAATATGTACATAACGGTAACTTTAATCCTTTTTTTTTTTTTTTTACTTAGTGAAACATGCTCTAAATTTAAATGAATGAAACTCATTTCTCTATGAAGCTTTTGAAACTTTTAAAATATTAAAGCAAGCAAAAGACCTAGATTCAAGTTTTTTTGTCACTAATTTACAATAATTATACACGCGTCAACTTGATATAAGAATGGGTTTGTGTTGATCAATAAGTTTAATAAATAAATATTCTTATTAATTTCTTTAGATAAACCTTTTAAATGAAGTGATTCTTTACTTTTTTTCAAAATTACCTTACCATGGGGATGAACCGAATTCAAAGACTCATTAATTTCTGTATGAGATAAACCTTTTAAATAATTATAGTTTACATGAATCGAATTCAAAAGCTCATTAAAATTGACTATGCGATTTGAGATCTTTGAAACTCATTAACCACATAATCCGTCTTGCCACTTAGAAACATTTGGAAATAATAGAAGATTTTCTCGTTGCTGCTACTCCGGTATCATAGCTCCACCTAAAACTGTCTTCCTATTAGCATGTAAAAATGCCTACATTTTTCCCTTTCATTATCATAGAAGAAGTTTTCTTCACATTCATCATACTGGTTGTTGCTGAATATTCATAACCCAATATGACAAGCACCCTCAATGATATCAAAATTCGCCTCAATCTTGCAGTGTGCTTGATCTTGTCAATTTTCTTACCAATCCATCGAACATCTTCACCTTCACATACCCCGTTCCTTTAACCTCAAGTTTTTCACTATCAGCCATCATAATATTGTCAGCATCACATAACTTATAATCTCTAGACATCCTTGTACGAGATCATATGGTACAAACATATTCCATAATCAGCTATAAACATAACATAACCTTCACGATATTGGTCATAAAAAATCTGCGTTTGTCGAATTTGAAGCCTCCACAGACTAATTCCTCTATGCTTTAAGATACTTCTTCAACTCGTGACCATTTCTCCAAATATGCCACTTCTTATGACATTGGTACACTCCACATCTCACCTGGATTGAGATTGAGAATGCTCATCCATTTTACCATAATTCCTTCCTCACATTTCACCTCTAATATGCCTGGTTTCAAATTTCGCCTAGAAAACTTGACCACTATTCACATTACCGCTTGCATTCTTATGTTGCCTCTGACAAAGAAGTCAATATTGTCATAGTAGAGTTTTTGACTAATATCATGGACACCAATATGATTTAGGTAAGAAAGACATCAAGATAATCATCTTATCTTTATAGTCAATCTTAACGTCAATATTTAACAAATCTATCACATACTTATTAAACCTGAAAGTTATGCATGTTTTCATCCATGTTGCTCTTTTTTTTCTATAAATCTTAAATCCAACGCACACAACTTGATACCGCCTGCATGTCAACATGTAAGTTATTATTTGGCTTGTTGCACTCAAGTTCTTGGCCTTCGCATCTTGGATAACTCATTACATGGCCTCCTTGATCCTCTGTAACTCTTGATCTTGTCTTTGGTTTCTCTTCAAGTTGAGCCGGATAAGTTTGTTGCATTTCTTGGATGACATCATCCCTCATCTCTTCGAAAGGATTCGACCTTGAATCCGTACCTATGTCAAATGAAGCAACACTAGAAATGTCGATGATAGGAATTATAATATACTTACCCTAAAAGTCCCAGTTGTAGCCATTGTTCTCAATCATGGCAATGACATGGAATGGTCCATCTCTTCTAGGGTGTAGTTTGGACCTCATTTGAGTTTGTATCTGCCTCTTTCGTATGTACAACCAATCACCGTCACATGGATCAAATCGTACATGCTTCGAATGCACCAATTTTTAAGTTTGAGACATTTCAAAAACAATCTCCTATTTTCCATCTAAGCTACCACTTACTTCAATGGTTAAACCAATTAAACCCGATAAAATTAGAGGATTAAAACCATAAACCATATCAAAACAT